CGCTGACAAGAATGTTAACGAGGTTTCGAAGAAACCAGAAATTATTGAGTTTTACAACTCCACCAAAGGTGGAGTAGATACATTCGATCAGATGGCTCACAACTACACCGTATCCAGGAAAACAAGAAGGTGGCCACTTAGATATTTCTATGGGATGCTTGATCAAGCCGCGATAAATGCCTTTGTGTTATATAATGTGTCGCGTAACGCTAGCAAAGTTACCCGAAATAAATTTTTGCAATCACTTGGACTGCAACTAGCTAAACCTTGGATGGAATAAACTGCAAAGTGAAATACGAGAAGTACTGGGACTAACACATATTTCAGAAGAGGAACAGCTTGGTCCAGCGCCAAAAAAACTCAAATCGTCAAGATGTTATATATGTCCTCGTTCACGTGATCGAAAATGCAGAGTTGTATGTTATATGTGTTCCAACAATGTATGTAACGAACACCGTACTGATATTTGTCTAAACTGTAAGAGAAATACTTAAAGTTGCTATTGGCTTCACTAAATAAACGTTTTCAAAAAATTTTATTTTATTTTTCCTAAATTAATTTCTGGGGTAACTGGTGACCCCAAGTATACGTTTTCAAGTGTGTGAGCAAATACCTATGAGCATTTTTTTAAATTGCGAAAATTTGACTTTTTGAGTATAACTTAAAAACAAAAGAAGATAGAGGTTTGATCTTTGCGGGATTGGATTAGTCTCGAAAAAAGAGACCGGGACATGGCACCTACTTTTTCCGTATCTCTTATAGTTTCTGAGATAGTCTCTATAATAACTCCCAATTTGACCACCTGTACACGTCATTCTCGATCATCTGAAAATTTTATCGGCGGATTTAAAAGAAAGGTTTCAAATACAACATTTCAAATATGCAGCATCAAGAACTCGCAGAAATGCAGAACGACCAGTCAATTAAAACATTATTAAATTAAAAGAAGCGATAGCATGGGTTTGTGAACAAACCAAAATTAAACAGCCAAATGCAACTAAATGCTGCAGAGAACCATTGTTGCCGTTTCCATTTTCATATTTATTATGTTAATTTAAGACTAATATACAATAGCCGACTTCTTTTAAACAAAAGGATGAAAATGATGTTATGCGAGTCACTTGTACTGTCACATTTCAATTATTGTGATGTTGTATATTCTCCATTTTTGTCATTGGTTGCAACCAGAAAAATTCCGAAAGTACAAAATTCGTGCTTAAGATTAATTTTTGGTATTCGCCGTAGAAAAAGTGTCGGTCATAAGCTATTGGATGTGAGATGGTTAAACATGAAACATCGAAGGGTGTTACATTCTGCATGCTTGTACTTTAGAATCATTAGATTAGAGAAATCACCCTACTTATACAACAAAATTGTGACCCGATTTGACACACTTTGAATATTAGGTTTAAGGGAACTTTAACTTTGGTTAAGTCAAAAAGCAGTCTTGGACTGAACTTCGCCTATTCAAGGTACTTATAATTGTAAATTCTATATTGTTATCTGAATAAAGTCATTTATTATTATTATTTAGTTCAATGCGGATTTAGTGCTATAAACGATTTGTTGCTAAAAAAACAGAAATCGGTTGGATATAACAAAGCAGGGAGACTTGAGACTAAAAGTTATTAAGTTCCTTTAGCAAAAAATTTTATTGTGGGGCATGGCACAAAAAGGTTAGCAACCACTGCTCTACACTCTGAATACAAAAATATGAAGAGGTTTTCAAGATTAAATGTCTAGTAGGATGGTCAAACATAGAAAATGGTTGTAAAGGTCTTTCTAGCGCTAGGGTAGTGGTCAATTAAGAAAAGAAGGTTAATTTTCATATAATAGGTAATGTCATAATTGAGGAGCGTCTGTTCAAAAGGAGCTATTTCCGTATTGGATGCTTCATACGTTTTTTAGTGAAATGTACTTGTGATATAGGATCCTAAAGATAAGTTCTGTTCAAAAAAACTATTTCCTTGACTTCTATGCAGCTTTCGTTACGTATTTTGTTGAATTACGTTGACAACAAAAAACAACTTTTATTATTCTCTATGGCAAGTGTCAAAATCCCGCGCGGATTATTTACAAAAATTATGCCGTCTTGCTGCCTTTGGAGTTCCAAAAATAGCAGTAAGAAGGGCTTTCGACTCTTAGAGTACCATGAAAAAAAAGAAAGGAAATTTGGTGTAATGTTATTCAACAGTTTAAATTTCCCACTTGACGTTCGAGCCAAAATGACGGCAAACCGCAGTACTTTAATAATCTAGGGAGTTTAGAAAATACGAAAAGATCGCTCCACCTATCGTAAAAAGTAAGTACCTTTGGTGCTCTTATTTTTTTGTGTATGAATATTGTGTTTTCTGTTGGTTTCCTCATATGATTTTATTTTATTTATCAGAAAATATACAAGCAATGACCGTCTTTGTATCACCTTCAAAGCTGCATACAAGCATAGATGTAAAAATAATAAAATTTCAAGGCATGAAGATGGAAAGAGTTTATCAGTCCTTTTTTTATTGAAGTTTTCAATGTTTCAAGAAAAGGGCTCAAAAATTTGAATAAAGTTTTGATACATAGGTGATAAGAAGTCAAATAAAATAAAGGATAAAAAGGACAGTCTCAGAAAGTTTTTGAATAATCTACCAGCCAGTGAAAGAATCAGAATTAAATTATAAAAAACTGAGACAATATTATTGTGATTCGCTCACAGCCGATCTCAGAGTTTCACACACAATGTTTTATGAAATTTTTTTACAAAGAATAGAACATTAGTTTTAAAAACCCTGCATCAGATGTCTGTGGTACTTGCATTATTTAGAAAAAAAAATAAAAAAAAAGCAATTAATGCTGGAGAAAAGGATTCACTTGTGTTTTGACATGGAAAAAGTCCAACAGTTACTGTATAACTTATGTGTTGATACAAAAAATCCTTCATTCTATACATGGTTAGAAACACAATCTGGGCGAGGGTCAGTTAAAGTAGGATCTGCATTATTCACCTATTTAAAGGACTTGGAAACATCTACAAATATAAAAACAATACGATTGTTCTGTGATGGTTGTAGGAGGGAGAACAAAAATAGTCATATTGTTCATATCCTAATACATTGTAAATACATATACATACAACGTAAAAAAAATAACATTAACATTCCCAGTTAGAGGCCACAGCTTTCTTTTGGCAGACCGAGTTTTTGGCAGATTAGAGAAAGATATCAAAAAACAAACGGTAATGTAATGACACTTCCTGAACCATAATATGAAATTTATAGAAAACATAGGACACTGAAAGTTTTGGAAGAAAACTGAACTCTGTATGATATGAAAAACCTTGAATATTATAAGAAAGTAATAGATATCTGTTCAGTAAAAAGAATTATTATAAAAAAATATCGACGATCTGGTTGTCAAGCAGTTTGGTGACAGCAAAGAACTAACTTTTAAGAATATTATTTTTGATCAAGAAACTACAATGACCAATGATGACGTGAAAGATCATCAGCATGATGAATCTTATTATTTGTTTGGAGCACGATGTTGGTGTAATCAGAATATAAATAAATACAAAATAAAACAAAATAAACATTAAAAAGTTCTGATGCGAAGTATTATAGGGGTGGATTTTTTCACCCCCTTATAAAAACATTACGGTTATAAAAATCGTCAAAAAATGTCACCTTATTAGTAAGTTATCTGCCAAATTTCATCATTCCAAATTCCTCCATAGATGATTTATTAAAGAAAAATAATTTTTTCCCCTAATTTTAGAGGGCTGTAACTTGGAGAAGTGGTTTTGACCAAAAAGTTATATGAAAAACCCCCCTTAATTTTCGCTGAAAAATCATCCCTTAAAATCTTTCGCATCAATTTAGATACACCTGTATATCCAATGTTCTGTTCAAAAGGTGCTACTTATTTTCATTTCAGATCAAAAGGTGCTATTTTCAGAAATTCTGATCAAAAGGTGCTATTTCCACTTTTTAACGTTAAATTTTGCGCTTTTTAGTAATAATACAAAATCATTTAGCACATCATAAACCTAAACTCAACTGTTTTTGAGTTATTGAACTTTGAAGACCACTCTTATAAATTACACAAAAATATTTTAGTCGTTTATGTTCATAATTCATTAAGTTACCTTTGAAAGTTTTTCATCTCCATAGCAACGCAGTGACATAACACATATCAAAAATACAAAAATAATTTAATAAGTGCAATTATCTTGGTGATTATTGTAGGTAGAGTATTATAACTAAGACATTATATGGACAATTTTTTACAGAGAATTTGATGACGTAAATGAGACTGTAAATTTTATTTCTTTGAGGACACTAAGAAAAGTTTATTTTTAGTTTTATTCTAAAACAATAAGAAATAGACCTATCTATCCTCATATTTTTGTAATCAGAAAAAATAACGAATTTAATAAGCGAATTTAACCATTTAAAAAAACGAAAATTGTAATAATATCTCAAAATCTAAAACCGAAAAATTTTTTGACTACGTCATCAAATTCTCTGTAAAAAAGTGTCCATATAATGTCTTAGTTATAATACTCCACCTATAATAATAACCAAGATAATTGCATTTGCTGGTTTTACGATATTTTCAATTTTGACCTCTAGGGGAAAAACAAAAGACGATAGCGCTTTGAGGTTTTTGGCATTAGCAGTTTCTCCAAAAACGAGATCATGACATGTAAGCTACTTTCTTTCTAACTCTTATAGTTCGAATTTGAACCACCTGTACATACATTTTTCAATAGCTATAAGTTTTTTTTTAGTTTTTCTAAAATTCCTTTAGTATGGAAATAGCCCCTTTTGAACAGACGCTTTTGAATAACAATGAGAATAATTGTCCTCAATTGCTCTCATTGTTAGAAGATCAAAGTGGAAATCAGTGGATCTAATTATAACTTTATAAAAAAACTTATACTCATCTACGCTCTTTTTAGATGTGGAGTATTTGTTTAAAAAAAATTACAATTTAAACTTATAATAATACTTTACCTATCGTATCGTAAAAGTCAGGTATATAAATTTCACCAGATTTATCATCTGAATCTTGTGAAAGCCATCTTATACTAATTTTTGTGGACCTTTTGTAGACGTTTTGCATAACTTGGCACACAAAAAATCCACCTTCAACGTTTCGCACAGCCAAAAATTCATTTCTAAAATAACAAGTCAATAATAACACAATACCAATCAATTTAATAATAATTTTCAAATTACTTATAAAAGATAATCAAATTCTCATCGTTGTCTCTCTTTCTAGATTTAGTTGGATTGGCCATTTTAGAAAAATTCTCCAATTCCGGGATGGGATACTGATAAGGTTGCACTTTTTTCCTTACACGTTTCGCCCTTGGCATTTTCGTCACCAACGGTTTATCCGGTTTTGAGATCGACTTTGTCGTTGAAACCTCAGCCGTAGCTTCCGCCGCAACAGCTTTCGTTTTCTTTGATTGCGCAGCCCTTGTTGGTGGTTTTACATTTAATTTTGGTGCCACCTTAAAAAAATATATAAATAAATCTTCTTTTCATGAATGTTGTAATCATATATACAGTGTGTCCCAGGATAGATCTTACAAGAGGTATAATGACTTAAACATTTTTGAATTCTATTTTATGGCTAAGGAATTAAGCCCTGCTTGGTGTGAAGAGAATTTTAAGAATATTTTCATATTTTGAAAACAATCGAAAACTATTTTTAGCTTAGGTAAAGTAATCTTTTTATTCATGATACGGAAAAATTTTATTAAGAAAAGTTGTTCAAAATAAGAAATTATGGTCCTATACAAAATTTCAGAAGGATCTATCTACTTAGGTTGAACCATCACATTTTAATAAGATAAATCTTGTATAGTAATTGAAATGTCAACTAAAACTGAGGGATAATACAATTTATTTGTTAATATTTGCGACTACTTAAGTCATTTTTTTTTCATGGCATTTTTCATTGTATTTTTTTTTTCTTCACTCTGATCTAACCTAAAATATGGTGGTTTAATCAATGTAGGTAGATTTTTCTGAAATTTTGCATAGTGCCATAATTTTTCATTCTGAACAACTTTCCTTAATGACATTTTGCTGTATCATGAACAAAAAGCTTACTTTACCTGTACTAAAAATAGTTTAGCTTCACCATCAAGGCCGTGTTGATTTTCAAAATATATAAATATACGTAAAATTCTCTCCACGCCAAGCAGGGCTTAATTCCTGAGCCTTAAAATAAAATTCAAAAATTTTTAAGTCATTATACCTCTTGTAACATCAATCCTGGGACAGACTGTATACTATCTCCTATATCGCTGACTAAGGCAGCAAAAGAGTGTAAAGACTAGAGTGCAGATATATATGTATCTGCCTCTGTCGTTACAATTCAACTCAAGACGCATGCGCGAGCACGTGGTGCGTACGCTATCATCTTATTGGACGGTGAATTAAAAATTAATAGCAGCTGATAACCTTGATGTTTATAAATCACCAAATAAACGTTTGACATATGAACATAACCTAAAATCTTAATATTTAGTTATGTATATTATTGGTTTTATGTATATAATAACATAATTATTAATTACTACTACTAATTTAATGTACATAATATTATGTACATTAAATAATAAGTACCTAAGTACATATTTTATTAATTTTGTTATTATATCTTTGATTAATGTAACAACTTCATTAAATAGTGTGAGCTTATAAATTATATTAAAAATTAATAACCATATTTTGGTACATATTTTTAATAATTACTATGTATATAATATGTATTAATTGAATTTTAAAGAATATAATGTTTAATGAACAACCTACATAAAGTTGATATTTAAAGCAATATTCAACGTCAATTTCACACAAAAGTACATAATATTATAATTTATTTGATGCATCTACGATAATTTATATTTAAGTAAATTATCTACAATAATTACATTTTCAAACTGCATAAAATACGCGCGAAACACTTCAGGCTCTTTAAAATTTACGGTTCACGCATGCGCTTTCGCGACACTTGTAACGACAAAGACAGAACATGTATCATTCCGTCTGCCTTTGATGGAAATGCTCGCCACTCATTGCTTAGATGGGGAGTCAGCGAAATAGGAGATAGTATATACAGGGTGATTCACATAAGAACCGACACAGAGCAGAGACATGTAGAGGACAATAAATTAAGATGATTTAACGCAACTTACCTCTATACTAAGTTGTACCCCTGAGGAGTTATAAGCCTTCAAAAATGGCTCTTAAATTTTTAAAAAGTTCTATATCTTGGTAATACATTAAGCTAGAAAAACCAAATTTGGTATACGTTATGAGTGTACCAAGGGTATTAATTGGTAGCAAGTTGAGATCAATTGAGGCATTTCATAGGGTTGATTAAGGGTGATGGTACCCTAAATTTGGACAATTTTTTTTAACCTTTTGGCGGATTTAATACATTACTACTTCATTTCATGTGGAATTTAATTCTAAAACATTTCTTACCCGTATTATTTTTTAAAAAACTTTGTCGTATTCATAAAAAACTTAAATAACTAAAGACACGTATTTCGTAATGTTACTTAAAATAAGAGAAAATTTAGTAGTCGGCTATGAAATTGTAGTCAAACTTGACGATAAAGTTATAAAGTTATTTGACGACAAGGTTTTCTCCATCACCTTTCATTCTTGAGTTATGATCGATTTTAACACCAAAAAGTACCCAATTTTGACATTTTGGGGATTTTCTCTTTATCACCTGAAAATCATTACATCTAAACTAAATTTGTTTATGGATGATGTCTTCTTAGTTGACAATAAACAACTTATTCCTAAAAAACTTTTCTCCATCACCTTTCATCCTTGAGTTATGATCAATTTTAATACCAAAAGTACTCAACTTTGATATTTCGGTGATTTTCTCTTTATCATTAGAAAATCATTATAACTAAACCAAATCTGTTTATGAGTAATGTCCTTTTAGTTCATAATAAACAATTTATTTCAAATAAACTTTTCTCCATCACCTTTAATTTTTGAGTTATGATCTATTTTAATACCAAAAGTACTCAATTTTGACATTTTGGTGATTTTTTCTTTATCACTAGAAAATCATTATACCTAAACTAAATTTGTTTATGGATGATGTTTTTTTAGTTCATAATAAACAATTTATTCCTAAAAAACTTTTCTCCATCACCTTTCATCCTTGAGTTATGATCAATTTTAATACCAAAAGTACTCAATTTTGATATTTCGATGATTTTCTCTTTTTATCATTAGAAAATCATTATAACTAAACCAAATCTGTTTATGAGTAATGTCCTTTTAGTTCATAATAAACAATTTATTTCAAATAAACTTTTCTCCATCACCTTTAATTTTTGAGTTATGATCTATTTTAATACCAAAAGTACTCAATTTTGACATTTTGGTGATTTTTTCTTTATCACTAGAAAATCATTATACCTAAACTAAATTTGTTTATGGATGATGTTTTTTTAGTTCATAATAAACAATTTATTCCTAAAAAACTTTTCTCCATCACCTTTCATCCTTGAGTTATGATCAATTTTAATACCAAAAGTACTCAATTTTGATATTTCGATGATTTTCTCTTTTTATCATTAGAAAATCATTATAACTAAACCAAATCTGTTTATGAGTAATGTCCTTTTAGTTCATAATAAACAATTTATTTCAAATAAACTTTTCTCCATCACCTTTAATTTTTGAGTTATGATCTATTTTAATACCAAAAGTACTCAATTTTGACATTTTGGTGATTTTTTCTTTATCACTAGAAAATCATTATACCTAAACTAAATTTGTTTATGGATGATGTTTTTTTAGTTCATAATAAACAATTTATTCCTAAAAAACTTTTCTCCATCACCTTTCATCCTTGAGTTATGATCAATTTTAATACCAAAAGTACTCAATTTTGATATTTCGATGATTTTCTCTTTTTATCATTAGAAAATCATTATAACTAAACCAAATCTGTTTATGAGTAATGTCCTTTTAGTTCATAATAAACAATTTATTTCAAATAAACTTTTCTCCATCACCTTTAATTTTTGAGTTATGATCTATTTTAATACCAAAAGTACTCAATTTTGACATTTTGGTGATTTTTTCTTTATCACTAGAAAATCATTATAACTAAACCAAATCTGTTTATGGATGATGTCTTTTTAGTTCATAATAAACAATTTATTTCAAAAAAACTTATCTCCATCACAATTAATTTTTGAGTAATGATCGATTTTGATAACAAAAGTACTCAATTTTGACATTATGGGGATTTTCTCTTTATCACTAGAAAATCATTACATCTAAACAAAATCTGTTTATCAATAATATCTTTTTAGTTCATAATAAACAATTTATTCCTAAAAAACTTTTCGTCATCACCTTTCATTCTTGAGTTATGATCGATTTTAAAACCAAAAGTACTTAATTTTGACATTTTGGGGATTTTCTCTTTATCACTAGAAAATTATTATGCCTAATCTAAATTTGTTTATGGATGATGTCTTTTTAGCTCATAATAAACAGTTTATTCCTCAAATTACGTACAATTTCACAGCCGACTATTGAATTTTCGATGATTTTAAGTAGCATTAACAAGATACGCGTCTTTAGTTTTTTGAGTTTTTTATGAAAACGACAATGTTTTTTAAAAAATAGTAAGAGTAAAAAAAGTTTTAGAATTAAATTCCACATGAAATGAGGTAATAATGTATTAAATCCACAAAAAGGTTAAAAAAATCTGCCAAAATTTAGGGAACCATCACCCTTAATCAACCCTTTGAAATGCCTCAATTGGTCTCAACTTGCTACCAATTAATACCCTCGGTACACTCATAACGTATACCAAATTTGGTTTTTCTAGCTTAATGTATTACGAAGATATTCAATGTTTTAAAAATTTAAGACCCAACTTTGAAGGCCTATAACTCCTCAGGGGTACAACTTGGTATAGAGATAAGTTGTGTTAAATTATCTTAATTTATTGTCCTCTACATGTCCCTGGTCTGTGTTGGTTCTTATATGAATCACCCTGTATATGGTTGTAATAATAAAATTAAGATTTATTTACCTGTTCTTTAATTGCTGTACCCACACTGTTATCAGTAGTAACTGTACCTCCTTGAGCAGAATCAATTGTAGTAGCAGGTTCAATTGTGGCCTTAGCTATAACCTCAGTAACATTCGCGCTTTCACTAGGCACCTCAGCCTCTTCTGGTTTTATTTCTGCCATGCTAGAATTACTTGTAGTTATCTCAATTCCTTCTATTGAAGCTGAAGATGAACTGTCAATAACATCCGGGACGTTTTCGTCTTGTTTTATTTCATTTGAAGATTCATCTGTTAAATTTGATACAGGAGTCGCTGGTTTGATATCTTTAGATGATTTTTCCATAATCTCTTTTGGTTTTTGAGGCGAATAATTCTGTTCGCCCGATTGACTTCCTTGCATCTCTGAGGTACCATTCGAATGAGGTTTTTCTGGTGATTCTTGTTTTGGGACTATTGCATGTGGTGTTGGCAAGGTTGGCTGAGGCGGGTGCACTACTGGATGTCCCTGCTGATAATTTGTGGGAAATTGGTCTTGTTTCACAGGACTTATATAAGCTGGTGAAGATTGGGTGACATTTGGAATTGGGTGATTACTGGCCGGTATTGACATAGCGGCGTTATATTCCGTTTTGGGAACGTTTAAATAATGATTTTGACTTGAGGAATTATGTGCGGGTGTCGGTAAACCATGCTGCATTGACGCCAAGTTTTGGGCAACATGGGTTGATGGTTGCCCGTAAGTTGGAGGACCCTGTTGAGATACTTGAGAGAGTATTGGTTTAAAACCTGAACTCATACTTGTAGACTTCTTCGATAATCAGTTCCTATCTGAAAGATAAAAAAGAAATTATTACCAAAACAAACATTTTAACAACCAAAACTTAAGAAAGTTTACCAAAACGATTTTTAATGATTAAAAAAGCATTAAGATACACTTATTCAAGTCAACATCGATAAATTGAAAACCCCCTCCTCTTGAAAGTAGAAAAAATTAACTGCGTCTTTACACGTGCCTAAAACGAGCTTCTCCTCTCGACGATTGTGTAAATAAGGATAAAAATGAAAAATCTCTTAATAATAAAAAACCAACAAATTACCGGATTCGTTTAATTTAAAATTAAAAGCACCGATTCAATTACTCGATGAAATCAAACACTTTTATCACACGGCAACAACCGCCAAAAAACTTGAACTAAAAGCGTGTATTGTTTATGAGAGGGACAGCTTGGAGTTGATTAAAACTTAAAAACACGACTCTCCCCATGAAATAACTTATTAAAAACTTACTAATTGTTATCACCTCGTTGATTTACTCACCTTTTAGCACAATTTCAACCTGAAAACGTATCAACATCATACGAAGAACGCTCCACACACTATGGCGTCTATATAGCTGAAAATCTCAAAAGCAACGTTGCCACCATATCGCCCCATCTCACTTCACCCAATACAATAATCACATCTTCCGTCACACTCAACCCGTAGATGAAGCAACGCCGCTATACGTTTGTGTCAAGACCGGTTTACACCCTACAAAAATCCTTCCCGGTCAAACAAACAAAATTATAAACATCCACTAAATCAACAAAAATTTATTCTATTACAAATAATAACCGAAAAAATTAATAATATCCAACAATTTGTCTAATTTTACTTTTTTGAGCAAATTAAAAATATAAATTTAAAAATAATTATGGTTTGAATTGTTCTTTGCCCCACTTCTAACTTCGTATCACTTCGTATTTAATCGCAGCGCCGCACACCGGCAAACATACTCAGTATTTTGACGTTTCTAATGTCGTTTCTGTATCTGTCACCGGGCACTCAAAATTTACTAAATTCAATTTAAATCGTCTAAACCGACTTTAATCATGTAGTGTTGCACCAAATTATTTTCAAAATCTCGGTCGTCGGCCATGAAAATGACCCTAAACGCCCAGGGAATTACGGGAGACCGCCAAAGTGGTTCACCATCGGACACCAAGTGAGTTTTGTATTTTTATTGAACAATGTTCTGGGTTAAAACGGACCGATTATAGGTCTGGGAGCCCTGGTTCAAGTCCGAGGAGTAGCCCTAGGCCTTCACCGAAGCCCCAGACGAAACGGGAGCATAGTCGAATAGATACACACCTCGGTGTCTCCAGGGATCCTTCCAGTTCATCCGTTAAATTTGATGTTTCTCCTGGTGTGAGTAATAGTTAATGTTTAAATTGGTTTGTTTATTGTTTGGGAGATTGTGGGCTTAATGAGGAAATAATTGTATGTAATGTTTATATTACGTTTATAAAAAGGCAGTTTTTTTTAGTTGTTGAGTTTTAAATAACATTGAATTGTTGAAGTTAAATAAAATAAGGTGAAGGTTTTACAATTTTTGCATTGTTTAAGTGATAATTCCTTTGTGTTATCTATTTATAAATATTTAAACGCCGATTTCGGGTTGTTCTAATTTTTTTTTGTTAAATAATAATTAGAACAGAAAATCAAGTGTTGAAAAAGAAATAATAAATAAAGAGAAACTGAACTTTCTAAATTTGGCAATGATCTCTGCTTTTATAACTTTTTGTTCCTACAAGTTTTTAAAAGCTTTCTTGAAAATGATTTCGTAAGAAATAGTTTTTAATCTTGAAGGTTTTTAAAGAAATGATGAGGTTAATCACCAAATTTTTTCTTAATAATTTAAAATTTCGTTAAGTAATAAATTAATCACGTATTTTTGTTGCATTATCATGATTTCTAAAGAATATTGCATAAAAATCTGTTCAAAATTTAATAATAAGTAATTTAATCAATGTTTTAAATGGATATTTGGAGATTTAAACTAGATTATAACAAATGGACTACCAAGCAGAATGTGATGAAGAAGATATAGACAAGAAAAAGGCTGAGTATGTTGGTTGTATTCAGAAAAGGATTGGAGTATGTTCAAACAAAAAACTAAAAAAATTACTAAATGGAACTGCCAATTGCTTGAACCAATCAACTGCAAAACCACTGTGGTCTGTTAGTCAAGAAAAATGCAGATTCTATAGATGAGACTGATACAAAATGTACAAAAAGCATTTTTATCAGTAATTGATCAAATTTAAACTTGCTCTCTGAGAAAATCAATTTTTAATTTAACTTTTTCATTTAATGTAGTACAAATAAATGCTAAACTTTATTATAATTAATTATTATCTTCTAGAGAAATTATAGAGGGGTGATTTATTAGCTCACCATCAAACTTTGACATATGATAGTTAATCCAATTACAAAAAAAAACGTTAATGAACATATGTTCCATTTCAATTATTTACGAAATTATAACACTTTTCTAACACAATTTTTATATCATAATTAACTGCTACACATAAATATTACAAATATTGTTCAAAATAGCCTCCTTCTGCTAGAATACATGCTTCAATACGACGAATTAAAGACGCGTGTGAAGTTGGCCATAGATTTTAGACTGACAAAATTTCGTGATCGGGGTATTTAATCGATCTAATTTCAACGGCATCGTGTTAATGGTCGCCTCTTGTTTCAAATTCGAAAAGAAAATTTTCCTAATCATTTCCTATAGTCCGGGAAAATCGATTTTCTTCAAACTTTCGCAAAATTCGGCCCGTTCGGGGGTTTTAATCGATCTAATCTCAACGGCATCGTATTCCTAGTGGCCTCTTGCTTCAGATTCGAAAAGAAAATTTTCCTAACCATTTCTTATATTCCGGAAAAATCGATTTTCTTCAAACAAGCAAATGTCGGCCTGTTCGAGGTTTCTAATCGATCCCATTTCAACGGCATTATATTCCTGGTCGCTTCTTGCTTCAGAAACAAAAAGAAAATTTTCACAACCATTTCTTATATTCCGGGAAAATCATTTTTCTTCAAACAATCGCAAATTTTGGCTTGTTCGAGGTTTCTAATCGATCTAGTTTCAACGGCATCGTATTCCTGGTGGCCTCTTACTTCAAATTGAAAGAGAAAATTTTCCTAACTATTTCTTATATTCCGGGAAAATCGTTTTTCTTCAAATAATCGCAAATTTTGGCCTGTTCGGGGTTCCTAATCGATCTAATTTCAATGGCATCGTATTCGTAGTCGCCTCTTGCTTCAGAATCAAAAAGAAAATTTTCCTAACCATTTCTTATATTTCGGGAAAATCGTATTTCTTCAAACAATCGCAAATTTTGTCCTGTTCGGGGTTCCTAATCGATCTTATTTCATTATTTATACCATCTCGTGTAAAACATGATTCATCTGTCCATAGAACATTTAAAATAAAATCATTATTTTGGGCATGTTGCTGCAATAACTATTCACAAAATGCTAACCCTTGCTGATTATCTCCATACATGTAGAGCTTGAACATTCTGTTTACGATACGGATGAAAGACTCGCGGTTCAATACGCGCCATGCAAAATTTTGACTTACGTGTATGTTGTGTGCTATTCTTCGAGTGCTGATGGAAGGATTATCAATGATAGCATTAATTACAACTTCTTCGTCCTCTACATTAACTACATGCAGTCGAATAGCTTTTGCTGGAGCAAGATTACCTGTTTCTCGCAGTCTTCTGAAAGAATTGCTAAAAACTGAATAATATGGCAAATGACGCTGTGGAAATCTTTCTTGATATTCTCGTACTGGTTGTCGAACATTTGCATTGCAAAAACCATACACGAAAATTATATTACCATACACTTCAGTGCTATAAGCGTACATTTTAAGTTTCTTCTTGTATGTAATAATTAAACCTTACAGCAACCTGACATATTACAATGACAACTTTGTTTTTGTTGAATGTTTGATTTTTCTGACTATTAATAAATTCGCTGCCGAAAACTTTAAAGTGTTATAACTTCGTAAATAATTGAAATAGGACATATGTTCATCAACATTTTTTTTTGGTAATTGGATTAACTATCATATGTCAAAGTTTTATGATAAACTAACAAATCAGCCTGTATAGAGAGAGTTTTTGATTTTTAAATTTCTATTAATGATTTAATTTTCTATTATTAAATTTGAAATTCATATATTTTTGTCAACACATCAACAACGTGTGGTCGTGTTGACGTAAATCAATGTGTTAAATCAATACTTGTTCTATTAGGGATGTATGTTACAGCGAGATATGTAGTAATGAGATGACATGATGTCATTTATGCTGGTATAGGTACTATAATAGAACCATTCTCGTTTTATTTGGCAGCGTTTTGAATTATTTTTACTCCGTGTAGTTATTGATATGGTATTTTTCAGTTGTCAAAAAAAATTCGGTAATTTCTGGAGATTAACTAGACCTTCCAGCGATATCCAGAATCCACAGAATTTTCAAAAACTTAAAAGGATAATTGAAGGTGTCAAAAAATATGTTTAAAGAATTCCTTTTATTATTATTATTGCTACTGGGCTGAGGGGAGCGGCCTCTCTCCTCATCGCGATCTATAAGATCTATGTAACTTTAGCCCTCCAAAAGTTTAGGGCAAATGTAGGTCCTTAATGAACATTAGTATTGCCCCAAGGTCTTGTTACTTTATGTCGGTAGGAATGAAAAGAACACAAATAGAACAAGAGAGCACAATTTGGAATAATAAACGAAATAAAACGTTTTCAGTAAGCAAACAAAGTACTGTTCAAAAATTTACTCTTATACACAACAATATTCAAAGCTTAAGAAATAAAATTGATGATCTTTTGATCCTTGTTGACAGTCTGGAAGGTAAGGTCAATGCAAGATCACTCTCCAAACATTGGTTAAAACCAAACCTGTATTTATAGATGGTTTCCATGTTGCATCCTTATTTACTAGAACTAAGAAATCCTATAGTTGCTGTATTTTATTGCAGAGGATTGTCGACTTACTCCACCTAAAACAGAAAAGTATCGAGTCAATTATAGAGTGTAGTGCTGTAAAATTGCGCAAAATGAAAGTGATAGTGATTAACATTTATTCTCCTCCAAACAAATCTAGAACGGAGTTGGATCTATTCTTTCAGTCACTGGAGTCTATTTTGGATGAGGTACAAATGAATTACAAAATCTTAGTCAGTGGAGATTTTAACGTTGATTTGAAGAAAACCAGGAAACAGTCTAAACAGATGTTAGATATATTCAAAGCACACAATCTTGAAGCCACTGTAAATGATCTAAAACGACCAGTACACTGATAGATAATATTTTTACTAATGTTCTTCCATGTGGAAGTGACACTATTCATTCACACTTATCGGATCACAACACTCAAAGAGTAATCATAGAAACTCATAGTGCAATAAATGATTCGCAATATATTAAAAAAAGAATATTTACGAACCACAAGCTAGATTTAATAAGTCAACATCTGGAAGATGAAACAGTGGCAGATTCCACGAAATATCACAATTTATTTGTTGAGAAACTTAATTCCATAATTCATCAGATTGTGAAAGTAAAAAAGATAAATGTTAGTGAAAAGCAAAATAAGTGGATTACTCAAGAAATAAGAACATTATCAGCAATGAAAAGACAAATGTACGAAAGCCACAAGAATAAAAAATTGATAAAAAAACGTACAATTTTCGTAAATTATTAAAGCGTCAGATTGAAACTACTTAAAAACAGTTGAGCGGATTACATTATTAATTCTAATAATAAAACAAGAGCGTCTTGGCAACTAATAAACCGCCTTCAAGCTAAAGCTACCACAAGTGGTATAAAGCCAGCAGATTTTGAAGCTACAAATGAGCAGTTCTTAAATATTTACGGAAATAAATGACTATTTTATAAAGATTTGTCAAAATATTGATAACAATTTTGGTCACCACCTAAATATTCACTATCCACCGTCACTGGGCCACACTTTGCCATTATACTTAACGGACGAAATTGACGTCCTACAAATAATAAATAATTTAAATAGCACAACGGCAACGGGTGAAGATGAAATACCTACGCATTTAATAAACATATTCTTCATTGGCTTCCGTTTTCCGGATGAGTTGAAAAAGGCAGTAATAATTCCAATCTATAAAAAAGGAGACAAGTCCTGCTATGATACCTATCGTCCAATAGCACTCATATCGAATGCATATCATATCTTATCATTATATCATATCTTGCAAAAATTTATGAGAAGCTTGTACGCAACAGAATCATAAATTATTTAAACAAATATAATATATTGCACGAGAATCAAAATGGTTTTCGGATCCACCGAACTTGCGATGTTTCAACTGTTGAAAAATATTATCTTGGGATTAAATGGAAAACAGGCCACAACAGTATTGTTCATGGATCTTACAAAAGCATTTGATAGTGTACATCATTGAATCCTTTTGACCAAGTTGGAGAGACTTGGCTCTAGAGGTGTTAGCTTGTCATGGATTAAAATCCTATCTATCAGTGAGGTTACAATGTCTGGACTGTCTTGGACCAATCATATTAATTTCCTTGCTGGCAAGATCAGTCATTTCTCATATGCTATTCGGATTATTTCCAGATCAGCTGGCATTGAAGCAGCATTAAATGCCTATTACGCATATGTTCATTCCTTGCTAAGATATGGAGCTGTCTTTTGGGGCCGTGGTGTTGATATAGATAGAATCTTCATACTACAGAAGAGGTGTGTACGAGCAATCTTTGGTCTAAAAAATACTGATAGCTGTAGAAGTTATTTTAAAGACTATAAAATATCTACCTTGTATGGAATTTATATTCTGGAATGTGCCGTATTGGTTAGGAAGAATTATTTTGAATTTTTCAAAAAATACGAAATATCACATCCTCGAGGCACACACGGAAAGGTGAACTGCTATCTGGTGCCACAAAAAACGCACCTCACTAAGATGCAGAAGACGGCTATGTACAAGAGTATCAAGATCTACAATCACATTTCGGAGGGTACAAGGATCCACGGAAAATCCATACCATTGACATGTTTTTCCAATTTAATGTTTGAATTCAATTTGTATTATATTACAATGTAATTATTGTTAAATTGACGCACTCTACGCTTTTTTTATAAAATGGAGTAATAAAGTATTATTATTAAAAAAGAGCTTTACCGAAAATGTTGTGTTAGGCAGCCTCTGGAAACACAATTACACAATATATGTTCAACCGTTTCTGACTCGTCGTTGCAAAGTCGACAAGTTTGATCTTTAGTCTGTCCAATGTAGAAAAGGTGGTATTTTAGGGGCGCATGGTCGGTCAGGAAACCTGAGAGCGTCCTTAGACCCCCTTTGCTAAGACATAAAACCTTTTTGGTTTTGTTTTGCGACGGAGTTATCATACTCTTTTTTTGTAGGCTACAATCGGGTTGGGGACCAATGAAGGTCGTTTTCGCTGCCTCTTTGGCCAGCTGGTCTGCCTTCTCATTGCCCTCAATGTCTCTGTGACCCGGAACCCACCATACAGTAACGTCATTACCCCTAGCGAGTTCTCTCAGGTTGCTCTGGTACACTCTCTGATGAGTGCGAAGTCACACGTGTAGGCCTAAATTGCCATTAGGGCGGCCCGAGTGTCTTTGAAAATGTTTACGGGGGCACCTCTCTGTCCCTTTTGTAAGTTCAAAACAGTGCAGAAGTTTATAGCAACAACTTCTGCTTGAAAAATGGTTATGTCCGAGCTGAGGGGCAATTTAATGCGGCTATTTGGTCCACTAATGCCCATGCCTACTTCGGATTCAACTGTCTTTGAAGCATCCGTGTAGCGTCCTTCGTCCAATCATTTCTGCTTCTAAATATGTCCTTATACGGCTGATCGAAATTGTATTCTGTCGGTATAAGGTCCGTTTTAATTTCAATCAAGCGATTTGGACATGGGTCGTTGAGGATTTTAAGGTGTCTTCTGAGGTTAGCCTCGATCAACTTGAGTGAAGAGCATGTTTTCAGTGATAAGACACTTAAAGCTGCTTCCTTTTGTATATACAGTGTGTCCCCAAATAGGTGAAACGACTCTTATAATATATTCTTTATTAAAGACTAATTTTGAACATATTTTCAATTTTTAAAAAACAAGTGCGCTTTGACAGTAAAAGAAAAACTCTTTTTGTGGCAGGTACAGTACCTTTTCTATTTAGAGTACGTGAAAGTGTTACTAAGAAGTTTTGTTCAGAATCATAAACTATCGCCATATATATTTTGGGAATGATCGGCCTACTTTGATAAAAATCCATATCAAACAATTTTATTTCTAACTAAGATTGCTATGGAAATGCATAATTACTTTCCTGTCAATGTTAATCTGTGAAACTGTAACTAAGGTCCATTACTACCATCTTTTAGATAAATTTATCTAATAGATAAACCCATCTACTAGCCAATCAGAGCGCGTAAAATAGCCGTAACCATGGTAATAATCCCTTAGATAGCTTAACCAGAAGATGGTAGTAACGAGCCCTAGGTCCATTACTACCATCTTTTAGTTAAATTTATTTAATAGATAAACCCATCTGCTAGCCAATCAGAGCGAGTAAAATAGCCGTAACTGTGGTAATAATCTCTTAGATAGCTTAACCAGAAGATGGTAGTAATGAGCCTTAGTAAACTTAAAGTGTTTTTTAAATACAATGTTAACGTTAGAGGAAAAAGTTTAGTGTTATTCAGTGTTATGGAACCGGGGAAAAATCGATAAATATTTATTGCTTTATTTAGTGAAAAATTTCCAAATAAAGGAATTAAAAGAAGTACCAGTTGGCGTTTAATCAAAAGGTTTCTTACAGCAGGAAGTGGTCACTATAAGAAAAAAAAATATGATGAAACTGATTAACTGTTTGCTTTTGTGGGCGAATAAACAATTAGTTTTTTGTGAACATTTTAAGAACGGTTAGTTTATTTCTCCTGAACAATCTGAATCTAAAAACAAAAAATCGTAATAAAGTACTATCGACGAAAATAATGAACACACTGTATAAATTTAATGACGTGTGAGACCGAGTCCAGAGCAGCTGTCGGACAAGATCCCATCGCATTCGTTATATTAAGACATGCTAACTGCTGGATTTGTTGCGTTGTCTTTATGGTTTGTTTTTGGCCACCAAAGCAGTGAGGCATAGGTGACCATGGGTCTAATTAATGCTACGTAAGCCCAATTTGTGGTTTAAGACCCCAGTTCCTAACGAGGAGCCTGCGGCAATCTGGTTAGCCATAATGGCCTTTTTCCAGTTTAATTTACTGTCTAGTATTACTCGTAGGTATTTAACTTCTGTTTTGTAGTTAATAGTTCTGCCTTCAATGGAGGGAAGAATTCCTAAGTATTTATACAGTTTATTTCCAAAAGTTCAGAAAATTTTTCAAAGTACTCTAACAGTTTCTCAAGATATCCTGGGTTTTGCAGATAATTTTGAAAAGTTTCAAAAGACCTTCAAAATATTTGTAATGTTGACATTGCTTAAATGTATTTATTAGTGAACAATTATTGTTTTAGCCATTAAAAACACATATAATTAAAAAAAAAATAAGTTTTTTTAGAATCCCATTTAATTAAAAAAAATTTTTGATTAAACCTGTATATAAAAGTTTAACTTCTAATATTATTACTAGCAATCATAAACCAAACAAGAAAAGGAACACGATATAGCATTTCCATTGTTGGTTGTTATTGCTTCAATAATTGTGTATCAACATTTTAAGTGCGAGCAAATTCTTTCCTTACTCCTTTTTTAAACTGCTTCAGTGTATCGAGTTAACGATTTTCTTTGTGTTACTATTAACAAAGATGGTAAGATTTTTTGAACTCTTAACATTTATTCTCGAATTTTTTATTCGATTTTAAAAGGTTACTCCGGATTCTTGCGGACCATTTCGAATTCCCGGCAACGAATTAGTGCTTCCCCCGGAATTAAATCGGACGGAAAGTACGAGTAGTTCGAAGGATCGAAAAGACACTCGAACAAAAAAGAAATCCGCCTGGTATAACGTGTTATATCCAACTTATAAATCGAGATCTGAAGATTATAAAAGGATTTTTAAGGAAGTTCCCGATGATGAACGGTTAGTTGTAGGTAAATAATATTAATAATCTCACATTTATTGTTGTGTAACTAATTTAGATTTATTTTTGGCTTTAAAAAAGATTATTCTTGTGCTTTACAAAAGGAAATTTTGGTGCACGGAAGATTGTATGTATCTCAAAATTATCTCTGTTTTTACGCCAACATTTTCGGCTGGGAAACGAACGTTACGATTAAATGGAAGGATGTATCTGCTATAACAAAAGAAAAAACCGCTTTAGTGATTCCCAATGCAATTTTAATTATGGTGAAGAGCGAAAAATTTTTCTTCACTAGTTTTGTGGCGCGCGATAAAACCTATTTGATGTTATTTAGAGTTTGGCAAAATGCACTTCTTGATCAACCAATGGCTATGCAAGAAATGTGGCAATGGGTAAGTAAAGTTCATTAATTACCTTTTATCGTAGTCGAAATTTTAATTAGATAACGCGATAGATAGAGAGGGTTTTATCTGGTTAAAAAGAGCGAATTCATTGAATTACGTGCAACCGTTTCGTTCGATATATTCCCGTGAAAATAAAATAAAAATATATTTCCACATAAAATAATATTGAGGTTGTTATCTACGTTAATCTCAGGTAAAAAAAAACACAACATTTCAGTATCGATATTTATTAGCATACGATAGGTTCTAAAAGTATCCCAATGAAAAAATCACCGAGCGTTAATTTAGTTTTAAAAACCGATCTTGTTGCTTGCCATTTTAAGGTACACCAGTGTTATGGTGACGAATTGGGTTTAACCAGCGACGACGAAGACTACATTGCCCCTGGGACCGAAGAGGAAAAACTTTCAGGTCGATTATCGGTGGAATCATTCTCAGAAGTAAGTTAATCAATATAATTTTTTTTTTAATTTTAGTTTTTAACAATTTTTTTAGATTGCGATTTTGAAATTTTGTATCACTTTTATCAGGTTGATAAATCCTGATAAATATGATTAATGTTTATTTATTAATCATCTTTTTAAAAAGGCTTTTTTGTAATACAGTAAAACCTTGATATGACGAACTAATACGTTATATGTTATAGAGACGTCTCTTAAGATGGCTCAATCCGAATGATTTTAATTCTAGGTCTAATTTTAATTCAATAAAAATAGACAACATTCTAGCGTTCAATAACAACTAAAACCAGAGCTCACACTACCACTAGAACTAACACTAGACCTGAACGCGGGCTTTCCATGAAGACTTTAGTTGCTCCAATATGTACAAGAACTATTTTTTGTAGTATTATTCAAGTACCTTTCTTTGTCATAATTCAGTAAATGATTTTATTTATTACCTTTACTGTTTCTTTTAGAGCCGGTTGTACAATACACCGATAAATCTGTCTGATAACTATCTGGCCGATAAACTTATCGGGAGGATAAAGATATTCGCTGTTGTACAAACTGTTTTTGTCGGGCTACTTTTTCCTCATATCTAGTAATTTGTGCCGTAGATTGGTAACGCTAACGTCTTTCTTTGAAATTTGAACTGATTTTGACAATAATAATAACAATTGTGTAAATTGTGCAATTAGCATTTTAAAAAATATCGAAAAATGTTTAATTTGTACGATATCAGACCAGCAGCGAGTCCGAAAACGAATTTTTAGTTAATGTTTTTAAGTAAAAGAAAAGAAAAAGAAATTAAAGAACGACGTAACCACATGGCGCAGTGGGATGAAACGGATTTTTTTTAACGGTTTCGGTTAACAAAAAAAAGTTAAGAAAGAAAGAATTAAAAAGAATTAACAGTTAAGATTAAACATGCATTTCTCATAAACAGAGTTAAATACATACAGGGTCCCGAAACTCAACGTCAAGCGGGCACCAGGTGGGAGGCCAACCTGTTCTGGTAAAAATGAGAAAAAAATTCCATTTCTCTTAGTTAAGTGGTAATAGACATATTTTTGAAAATGTTAAAAATCGGTCCCGTACAAAAAAATATATTAATTTAATTGAGTTAAGGTTGAAATAATTTATGTCTATCAAGTTTGACACATGATTTCTAAAAAAAGGAGTAGTAGAACTCCCTTGGCAAGTAATTTTAAAAGATAGCCTGTTTAGTCAAGTTTCCAAAATGGTACAACACTTGCTATTTTTCTTGTCTATAAATAATGAATAAGTAATTTAAAAAGTTCATACTTTTGTATTTATTTTTTATTTCCTCTTAACTTTGTTAAAAGATGTGCCAGTTAATATCTACGAACTACAAAATGTGGTTTCAACAAGATGGTTGCCCTTATGTCTTGCAAAAAGACTCTTTCAAATAAGGTTAATCTAAAGACACAATTAAATAAACAAATTTATTTATTATTAATTTTATAGCATTATTTTCTTAAAACTAAGGCTGAGCATTTGCCTTAGTTATTAATTATTTGCCGTCGGCACTAATACAAGCTCTGCATCGTCACAGAAAAGATCTTTTTACTAGTTGTGCAAATCTCTTTGCATTTATTTCTTCTGCTGCTGTATAAATATTGTGGCTCAGTTCGGCAAGATTTTCAATCGGTTTTTAATACACTGTTTCGTTTATGCAATCATAATAAGAAAATCAAAGGGATTTAGACCCAGAGAATGAGGAGGCCACGTAATCGAACCACGACGCACAATCCATCTTTGTAGGTATTCTGTATGCAATCCCATACAGGACAAGCATAATGAGCTGGGCAACCATCTTGTTGAAACCACATTTCTCTGTAGATATTAAGCGGCACATCTTCTAACAAAGTTGTTAAATCATTTTGGAGGAAATACAAATAACATACGAAAGTAATAACGCGTTTTTCGCAGAAAAACAGGCAATCATATTTTTTAGGAAAAGAAAAATAGCAAGTGTTATACCATTTTGGAACCTTGACTAAACAGGCCATCTTTTAAAATAACTCGCCAAGGGTGTTGTACTACTCATTTGTTTAGAAATCGTGTGTCAACCTTAATAGACATCAATTCTTTCAACCTTAACTCAAGCAAACTAATACTTTTTTTTGCAAAACTAACGACTTTTGTTGTTCGATTTGTGATTGCTATAGTAGCATGGTTCATAAGAATACATTATTAAAAAAATTACTATTAAATTGTGAACATTTCTGACCGTAGTACCTAAAGATATGATGTACGGGAACGATTTTTAACATTTTCAAAAATACGTCTATTACAGAACAGGTATGGTGCCCGCTTGACGTTGAGTTTCGGGACATCCTGTGTATTATAAGATTAGTAAAATAATTAACCTAAATAATCACTGTCAAATTGTGATGGTGTTCCATCGCAGCTTAGTTTTATCAAATTTCTAATTCTTTCATATAGCGGGTTTAACTTTTCTTCACATGGACCTCCAGTACCCATCACATCAGTGCGGTATTTGGCAACGGCTTGACGGGCATCTTTTTTTAATGTTGTTTTTTAATGATGTATTTACTGCGATGCTGTTCCCATGTACGGTTTGTGGTGCCGGTTGAATTAAAAGTTTGACAAATCTTTTGCCATACCGCTTTCTAAAATACAAGATACATATGTGATAAATAATTACCAAGTATACCTTCTCTTTCCAAGTGACCGCATCTGTTTTTTTATTTTCTATAATATGAGCTAGATTTTCTACTATTTCAATTAATCGCCAACACTCCTCTNGGTCACAGCAATCAACTAGACATTTCGGCGGCCAAACCTATTTTTAGTTATAACTTCGTAATGCTGTATCCCATAATTTTGATTTTCTAGAACAATAACTAAAACAACCCAGAACAACAAAGAAAATTTGATTTTTCCTAAAATGATGGGCTAGCCAAAAAACCCGTTTTTTCGGTTTTCTCGCGGAGTTTTTATTTTTTCGATTTGCCGCTTTGGAACAATGTAGAACAACTGTAGAACAACAATAAAAAATTTAAAAATCAAAAATGGGGGCTAACTTCCCGCACACAAAGCATGTATTTAGTAAATATAAGAAGATACCCAGAAGATAAATCAATTTAAAAAATATTTGAAAAGATACATTAAAAAAATGATTTTGGCAGGTCTCACAGACCCAGCCCGTCAACCGGAGGGTTAAAGCAAACTACTACAATATTTTTTCAAGAAATTCACTCAGCGACTCAGCCAAAGATCATACATATATGGTCGTCGTCTATGATTATTCAAATTTCACCAATTACGTTTCATTTCCGTTTCTAATGTTAACACTCAGGGGTACCATCTATGTTCTATCTCGTAGGTTGCTTCCTGTCGAGTAGAAAGTTGCTGGATAAACGGTTCACTGAGGTTATCTGTTAGGCAAGTTTATCCATGGGTTGCGTATCTAACAGATTTAACTCGACATTAATAAACCGGCCCTAAATCTGTCTGATAACTATCTGGCCGCTAAAGTTATCGGGAGGATAAAGATATTCGCTCTTGTACAAACTGTTTTTGTCGGGAGGATTGCTATTGGCTAAATAAGACTCGGTTGGTAGTACTTTTCCCCCATATCTAGTAATTTGTGCCGTAGATTGGTAACGCTAACATCTTTCTTTGAAATTTGAACTAATTATGACAACCATAACAATTGTGTAAATTGTGCAATTAGCATTTTAAAAAATATCGAAAATGTTTAATTTGTACGATACCAGTACCAGCAGCGAGTCCGAAAACGAATTATTAGTTAATGTTTTTAAGTAAAAAAAATTAAAGAACGACGTAACCACATGGTTTCGGTTAACAAAAAAAAGTTAAGAAAGAAAGAATTAAAAAGAATTAACAGTTAAGATTAAACATGTATTTCTAATAAACAGATTTAAACACATACATATATTATAAAATTGGTAAAATAATTAACCTAAACAATCACTGTCAAATTGTGATGTTGTTCCATCGCAGCTTAGTTTTATCAAATTTCTAATTCTTTCATACAGCGGGTTTAATTTTTCTGCATATGGACCTCCACCAGTACCCATCACATCAGTGCGGTATTTGGCAACGGCTTGACGGACATCTTTTTTTAATGTTTCGTATTTACTGCCATGTACGGTTTGTGGTGCCGGTTGAATTAAAAGTTTGACAAATCTTTTGCCATACCGCTTTCTAAAATACAAGATATGTCATAAATAATTACCAAGTAGGTTATACCTTCTCTTTCCAAGTGACCGCATCTGTTTTTTTATTTTCTATAATATGAGCTAGATTTTCTACTATTTCAATTAATCGCCAACACTCCTCTTGTGTATAATTAGTAGCACGTTTATTTTTTTTCCTTCCAGTACAACAAAGTAACCAAACTTTTTCACGACAGACAACGTTTGTTGTTATATAAAAACGTTGGTAACCATACATATCTGGCGAATAACCGTCTTATCGGCACCTCTGAGTACCCGATAAGGGCGATAAGTTATCCTGTCAATAATCTCCCCGACAAAAATATCCGTACATTGTAATACAGTACAAACTAGCTTATCGGTCAGACAACGCTGTCGGGAAGTTTATCGGTATATTGTTCAACCGGCCCTTAGTCCATTAATTAAAGATTCACATACTTGTAGAACAAATTTAGAAATGTTCTGCTTTGAGATTCTAAACAGATACATATTAAACTTTGATATAATCGAGTGGTTAAAAATCTCAGCGTGGCAGCTGGTTTGTCAGTTTTTAAATTACTTGTTCTAAAGAAGCTAGAAGAACCAACCAATTTACGAAGTATTCAAAATTCGTAGGAGACTTTCTTACCAAATTTTTAAAACCACGGTCGTCTTCCATGCGCAAACCTGTGGAAACAGAAGGTTCTACTCATTTTTTAAATAAAGTTTTCACCCACCACCTCTTGACTAATTTTATGTTGAGAATACCGGCTGTGGCAATACAACTACTGTGTTAGCTAACATTTGTGATGACAATTCAGATTTTTGTTCGCAAACTACACTTGTCAGCTGATACTGTAGAATTAGAAACATTCGGGTTTAGCCGTGCGTCTCTTAAAACGGCTAAACTCAAATGTATCTAGTTCTAGTGTTAGTTCCAGTTTTAGTTTTAACACTAAGTTCAAACTAGAACTAACACTAGACCTAGATCTAGAAAGTTTCGGGTTTAGCCATGCGTCTGAAGACTATATTGTGCTATCAATGCCATCAGATTTAACGGGATCACTATCAGTAATTAATACTCAATGCCAGATTGTACTGCCTAAACGGCAGTTCTGGATCGAAAACGAAAATTCTCTGGTTCAGGCAGATATTTGCATGGGGTCGGAGCAAGAGTATACTGCCAGACACTTCGGATTAAGCAAGCTTACAGCCTGGGCTATTGACATGGGTGCTAAAATCCTGCTTCTTGTAACTCCATTGTGTTTCTTTGAGGCAGGACCAAATCATCCAGAAGCTTCTTCGCATTTAATAATTTGTGAAATTCTATCATTGGAATCTCCACCTTACCAAAAACTAACATTTCCCAAATCTCAATCCAGACCCTCCCTACACAATCAAAGTTAATTTCAAAATTAAATTATGAACCCAATCACAACTTAATCCAATTCAATTTATAATTTTTAAAACTGCAACCTAAGCCATCCCATTCAAATTATCTTTATAACCAAACCCAACACTGGGCTTGATCCAAACATAACTCAACTTACTGTATATGTGGTGGTCAATAATGTCCAAACCACCAACCCAATCCATGCCCCATCGTACATAATTTAACTTTATCACTACCTAAAATAAACACTATCAAAATACAATAGAAATCTCAATTGAATCAATAACTTTCAAAATGCTACCCTAATCCCCATCCAAACCAACCTAAACATAATACTTCCAAAATGTAGTTTTAAATTTAACCACAACTCAACCGAATTCAGCTACTATCCTTGACATCTCCAAATTAATGCTAACCCATGCTTCCAAATTCAAATCCATCCACTCACCGAACCCTAAGTCTAAATCCTAAGACTAACAATAAGTATAACTTTGGTTAACCCCTGTCCAATCCATAATTTGCGCAAACCCAACCTAATCCATTCTACAAAATTCAATTTCATCCTCACCCAAGCCTTATATTTCCAAAATCTAATCCTAAAACTAAATATAACTACCTAAGCTTCGCCCAATCCATAATTTACACAACCCTAACTTAATCCGTCATCACCTAACCATAATTCACCTAACTATCCAAGGTGAAGAAATTCCTTTCTCAAAGGAAGTCAAATATGTAGGAGTAATTCTAGACAAAACCTTGTCATGGAATGAACATTTGCAGGGACTTTTGCACAAAGCTAGACTATCCTTGTGGTCTTGTCGCAGTCTTTGTGGAAAAAATTAGGGTCTTACCCCTGAAAGACTCTCTATGTGACTGTGGTTAGACCTATGATCACATACGGAGCAGCAGTCTGGTATAGGAAAGTCCGACAGACTTCAGTTATCAGTAAACTTTCACGAATTCAACGAGTAGCTGGATTGGTAATTTCTGGTGCGATAAGCACAACGCCAACTCTAGCAATGGAAGTCCTGCTTGGCCTATCACTTGTGCATTTGCATATAGAGAACAACCATTTACAGATTTAAGCAATATGTTCAAAACTGTTCGGACATGTTCTACCAATGGGCTGCAGAAGACATTATAAGCACTGATACTGTGCTATTAATGCCTTCAGATTTGTCGGGATCACTATCAGTGATTAATGCTCGATACCAGCTTGCCAACCTGCTCTGGTTCAGGCAGATATTAGCATGTTCACAGATGGATCAAAAACGCCGGAAGGGGTCGGAGTAGGAGTATACTGCCAGACACCTTGAATTAAGCAAGTTTACAGCTTAGGTACGTACTGTACTGTATCCCAGGCGAAAGTATTTGCTATTGACATGAGTGCTAAAATCCTTCTTGAGAGAGGGGTGAAGAACATGACAGTACGAATTTTCTCAGACAGTCAAGCCGCTCTCCAGGCGCTGCAAGCCGTGAAAACGGTGTCGGCTCTGGTTAATGATTGTAAGAGAACATTAAACACACTGAGTTGTGATAACAGAGATTCTTTGATCTGGCTCCCGGGTCACACTGGGGTTGCTGACAATGAAGAGGCTGATGAGCTAGCACGAGAGGGCAGCGCTAAAGCGTTTGTGGGGCCGTAACCAGCAGTTGGTGTATCATTTGCAATGGCCAAATATAGAATTGGACTGTGGGCTGAAGAGAGACTTCGCCTACTGTGGACCAGTTCTCCTGGAATGAGACATGCTAAGGTGTTTATTAACATCGCAACTGTCAAACCCGGAAATATTTTAGGACTTGCCCGTAGCAGCATGAAAGTTCTAATGGATGTCTTTACTGGGCACTGCCGATTAAAAGCACACCTCAACTTATTGGGTTTAGCCGACGATGTTGAATGGCGACTATGTGAGGAGGAAGCAGAGGCGGTTGAGCATGAATACCGTCCGTATAAGATCCTCGATTTTTGGGTCGCAGTCTATCTTCCTAAAGGATCTGAATGACCTTCCACCGAGCAAGGTATTAATGTTCGTTAAGAGCATTGGACTGCACGGTGAAATTTGATAACGATCTATCGGGGTACAACAGATCCTTAGGGTCATGGTGCAAGGTTGGTTGGTGCGCCTACCCGATATGTAGTCTATGTAATGTAATGTAACTTAATCCGTCCGCACCCAACTGAATTCCATCCTCGCCCAAGCCTTATGTTCTCAAAATCTAATTCTAAAACTAAACTGCCACTATGACTGCCGCCATAGCAGTCGACTGCTACGTGTAACGTCTTAAGTGTAACTCTGTGTAAGCTGTGTCGGGAGTCCTGGATCGAAAACAAAAATTCTCTGCTCAGGCAGATATTAGTACGAGTATACTGCCAGACACATCAAATTAAGCAATTAGTTTAACTTTTCGTTTAATAAAAATATACAACAATCTAGCACTGAATGACAATTAAACCTAGAATCAGTGAATCTAGAACTCAGGGAATACCTCGCTTTTATTTATGAACATGGAATAGAGCAAGTTGAGAAAAACCCGAGTTGGATTTTATCTATGAGCGTTAACATTTAAATATACTGGTGTATTAAATAGATAACATTAATAGTATGACTTATAACTAGGTCCGTTATATCGAGGTTTTACTATAATCAGTGTTTGTGTCATTGACACCGAAAGTACGCCAATAAACGTGCCCTATTGATTTTTTCAAAACTCCCCCCACGTTTCTCGCCCTTCTGATTGGACGTGATGTTCGAAAGCAGTCGAATAATGTCGTAACACGTGAGACGACCGGCGTCCACACGAAACGTCGTCGCGACGCCTTCATTATTATTTACCTTTTTTCCTCCAAATATCTTCTCGGGTTTTTGATTTTTTAACTTTCTCTTTGTTTTCTTTATCATTTCCTTTTTTGAATGTTTTCGGGGCCCGAAAAGTTTCACTATAAACATTTAAGATGTGTATCTACCGTTAATATTAAGTTGTTTGAGTGTTTATTTTTTCTTTTAAGATTTAGTTTTTATTTTGGGATAGGAATGCGGTAGTAACGGGGATGTGATGTTGGATCAGTTAACGCCGGAGGATAAGGATGTTAATGAGGTCATTAACGAAGAGGAAGGTGCGGTAAATAATAATCACACAGCGATGCCGCCAACTGATTTATCAGAAAGTAGCGATTCGGATGGGGAGAAGGTCGAAAAGTAAGTTGGTGTCAAATTTTCAATTTTTATTTTTAATTCATTGGGGTCTTGTCTTTTTTTTTCAATCTTGTTTCAGTCTTTATTTTTGTTTATTTTTTTTAATCATTTATTTTTTTTTATCATAAAGCACAGTTTATTTTTTATATTTTTGGATCGAGTTGGACTTAAGAAATTTTTTAAAAAGAAAAAATAAAATCTTAAGAATTATTAAGGTATAATTCTTAAGATTTTATTTATTAAGTTAAATTTATTTCTTCTATTTGAAAAGTCTTTCAGGAATAATAAAATTAACCTTACACTTATGTCATGTGAAATTAGATATAAACTTCAACCTTTATGAAATTTTCGAAATTTTCTTATGATGATAATTGAAGAACCGCATATCTCTCACGACGGCTAAACCCGAATGTTTCTGGTTCTAGCTCTAATGTTAGTTCTAGTGATAGTGTAATACTAGAACTAACATTAGACCGACAACTAGAAACATTCGGATTTAGCCGCACGTCTCTCAAGACGGCTAAACTCGAATGATTCTAGTTTTAGGTCTTGTGTTAGTTCTAGTGATAGCGCTAGTGCAATACTAGAACTAATACTAGACAGAGAACTAGAATCATTCGGGTTTAGCACTAGCGCTATCACTAGAACTAACACAAGACCTAAAACTAGAATCATTCGAGTTTAGCCGTCTTGAGAGACGCCCTGCTAAACCTAAAACTTTCTAGTTCTAGTTCTAGTTTTAATTGTTATTTAACCCTAAATTCTTGTACATTTTAATTGATTTAAAAATCTTTTTATTTAATTTAATCCACTTACCTTGCTTATAAAACCCTAGATCAACCAATTTTGAGTTAAATACAGCCTTTTAAACCAATAAATAAGACATTTTCCTTAAAAAAACTTAAATTCAATTTGACAAGCATCTGCAATATTTCTGTACCTGACAGCTGAAGGGATAGCCGAAAATGTCTAATTTAACTTCAAATAACAATAAATTGAAATAATTAATAATTCTCATGCTTTTACCTCACAAATAAAGCTCGAAAATATCGGTATATTTTAATATTAATAGTCTGTAAATGTTCATTAATACCATATTTTTATCAAAAATCTTTATTTTTACAAAATTATTGGACTTACTACATCTTGGCTCTAAAAAATTAAATGATTATTTGGACTTAAAACATAAGAATTTGTAACAATATGAACTTATTATATTTTTTCTGGAACAAATTTGAAACTTTAAAATTTATTAATTTATTATTATTAATCATCATTAGGAAATTCTGGGGCCTCTTTAGCATAAGGTAAATTCGTAAAGTAATCCTAATATTCTTCAGGAACCCACTTAAGAAGGGTTAAAAGATTTTCATATTTGGCTTCACTTATAGGTTTTCTAGAATGTCTTAATTGGGGCAAATTTTTCGGTATGTTTGAAGGTTTTCGAAGGTTTCTATTTAAATTAATGGAGCTAAAGTCTTCTTTAAATGATGTTTTAAAAAACAAAGTAATGTTAATGATGAGTAAAATGTACTAAAATTTTTTAAATCTTCTAGGCCCATAAAATTTATCCAATCAGTGCAAGTAAAAATTGTAAATGGTTTAGTTTTCTTTTTTGCACGTTCAATAACGCTGTGCTGACAATCTACTTCCTATATGAGTAGGAATATTTCATTACCATCTCTTCCAGCTTTGGTTTCATTCCACATCATACACCAAGTGTTTTTAGTACAAGGATTATGTATTGTGTAATTTAGGGTCCACAACTTTCGAAGATAAAAGCTCTCCGAATTGGTCAAAAAAGGAGTAGGAAGGCACTTTTGAAGATCGGCCATTACCACTTGTATATTTTCATTACTTTCTAAAGCACATTTCTTGTCTTCATTTTTGATTTGATATCTATTATTTGCATCACTTAAATGTAAATCTCGCTTAAGCTTTACATTAAAATAATCACACATAACACATGTGTCGTTATCTGGTAAATGGAACGACAAATTAAACATTTCGTTGAAGATTTTTCTAAAAAGCCATTTCTTAGCTGGTTCTTCACCTTTCTTCCTAAGTTCTTCGTAATATAACCCATACATTTTTGAAATATTTATGCCATCTCCAAGATACTTCTTAGCAGATCTTTCTCGAGAATAATGGCTTTCATACGTAGGGTAGCTGTCAATGTGCTTAGTGATTTTTTCAATAACTTTATCAGAAATTTTATTGATAGGGACTTTTCTACCTCTTTGATCAGGTACTGAAATATTACATGTAGACTTCTTTTTTAGAGCGTTATAAACAAATTTTTCGCTGATCGATAAAGTGCTTATAAAAAATTCAATGAAGAAATTATATAGATTTTGTTGTGTACGCACTTTTGTAGATAGAGGGTCTCTTGGTCTACGTCGTTTTACATCTTTAGTAAACGCGCAATAATTAATGAACTGCCTCTTGCACTCCCAAGAAAAAAATTTTTTCCAAAAATCATTATGAATCTGCTGGCGTTGATTTTCAGATATTAACGAACGGCACTTATATGTAAGTACAGGTGGAACCACATGGACTTTTTAGTTTTTTATTTAGTATGAGTTTGTCATAAGTCATAACTTTTCAATTATTTTTCAAAGCACACTACACACCCAATATTGATGTGTACATTAATTTTGGACTTTTCTTTATAATCGAAACATTTTTCCTCGTAATAAAGTTTTTTTAAATAATGTTACTAAAAATGAAATACTGGGTTTTAGAGCATTCTTATTTGAGCATTAGTACATTTTTGTTAAAAGTGGACTTACACCCCTTTAGCTCTCAGGTACAGATTTGGATCTTAATCACCATTGGTAACCGAGTCAAGTTGGATAACCTAACAATAATAAAATTATAACCGTTAATATTTCGCTTTATTTTTAATATTTTTTTAATTTTATTTTATTTTATTTTGTATATTGCTTCTTAACACGTTTGGTGCCCACTACGAGTAAACCGTGGTTAACGGTATCGCTGGGCAGCGAACGTGTTAAGTGAAATACACTGCATGAATAAAAACATAGAAATGTTGATTCTTCCAATGACGTCACAGCAATGCCTTTGCGGGGGGATACGTGCATAACAACAGTTTATATGGAGTTGGATAACCTTATACAGTATGTTTACTCAACAGACCTTGAATATTAGGAAAGCTATTAAAGTCAGACATATGACATACTTATCATTAATTAAAGGGAACTTGATGAGCAATTCAACTAGCATACAATATACAGTCTGTTCTATTTAAAAAACTTAAGAAAAAGCCATTTGAAAAACATGAAAAGTAACTGAACTTTTTAAACATCCTGTATATTGTATCTAATATCTTTGAATACTATTATCAACCTACTGGCTTTGACTTTTGTCTGACGTAGTTTCAAGGCAAAATCGGAAAAAATATAGTTTTTACATCGTTTTTAAAAAGATCTTGTAACAAGAACATTTTGGAAGAACAATTGAATATCTCAGAAACTATGAACGCTGTGAAATAGTAACATATACGGTTGTATAAACAAATTTAGTTGTATTCATAATATGATAAAATATACAGAGTGTTGTCTAACAACTTTTGTATAAAATATTTTTTTGTTTTTCAAATGGTTTAGTAACTATCGACAGCCAGTATACTAACAACTCACCCTGTATAAGAGAAATTATATTAGCAAGTTAACATTTAAGCTACAAGCTTTTGTATTTATGGAATGATTTATCTTGAAATATTTCTTAAGTCCAATTCATTTACATAAATTATTTATATCTTTTTGTCCAATTCATCGCTTTGGCTGAAACAATCATCAATTTATTTATTTGTATCTGTTAAAATCGATCGAAATTCTTTTCCAATTTTGACCATCGATTATCTGGTTCAAAATAACAAGTAAAGTGGTATATTTTTTCTATGAAATTAACAAATCGTTTTATTAACTTTTGGATTTAACGATAAATCCCGCTTGATTTGTTTTAAAAGTTATACCTCGATTTGTTTGCAGGAGCAAACGTAGACGTAATAGCAGTGACATTGAACCAGACTCAGCCCTTTTAAATTCCCCTGATCCCCATCCTTATCATTCTTCCAGTGACGAGAATCTATAGTAAGTTTTTTCATTTTTCTCATTTTCATTGTTTTTTGTATCTTCTAATTTCTTTATTAATTCATTCTTTAAGCGCATGCATTTATTTATAGAAAAAAAAACCTTTCCTAACAAAAAAATCCTTAAATAAACATATTTTTATTTTATTATTTTTTTAACATTTATTTTTTTATAGCACTTTAATCAATAAATAATGCTTTTGCTCTCTTTATTTTCTTAACATCGCATGATTTACTTTATTTNACATGAGAATGCTATTAAAAGCTTCAGTACATGTATTCAATGGGCGGAGGAGAATGCAGTCGATTTAAACACCGTAACAACCCTTAGAATTCTACGGCAACGCGCCATGAAATTTAAACAAGACTGCATGCGACAAACAAAGTTGTTTGATTTTTTTAAATAAACTGTATAAAACATGTATTGCATATATTATCTAGTACAATAAATCTATAAATAAGTATTTATAAGACTTTTTTTGATAATATTTAAATATGACTTCAATAATCCGCATGCTTCCATAATCTGAATTGAGCTGGTTTTAATTGATTCGGATTAGCGAAGCTTTACTGTATATTGCTTCTTAACACGTTCGGTGATCACTACGAGTTAACTCGTATGTAAACCGTGGTTAACGGTATCGCTGGGCAGCGAACGTGTTAAGTGAAATACACTGCATAAATAAAAACACAGAAATGTTAATTCTTCCAATGACGTCACAGCAAGGCCTTTGCGGAGGGATATGTTCATAACAACGCGTTCATATGGGTTGGATAACCTTATACAGTACGTTTACTCATCGGACCTTGAATATTAGGAAAACTATTAAAGTCAGACATATGACATACTTATCATTAATTAAAGGGAACTTGATGAGCAATTCAACTA